GACTTGCTCTTGAAATCTTTCCTATGCAAAGTCAAGGACCTTCACATGCCCACTAGTTTGAGTCTCTCTAGCAACAATAGTACTTCTAATAAAAAAAGAAGGGGCTAATGCCCAACTTATAGTTTCTTCAAGTTTTCCAACACTGGCAGATAAGTCTTCATTATGGGATTGGTTGGAGTAATCTAAAGAAGTAGACTGCAAGTTCCATGATCAGGAGAGAGGAAAGCCACCAACACATGTAATTTAGAAAGATATCGGTGTTTTATAGAAAAAGAAATAAGTCTGCCATCCCTCAGGGTTTAAGGCCTTGATGAGTTGGGCCAGAGAGGTTCTCAGGCCTATAGGGGAATTGCCCATACTAAGAACTGCCAATTCCACTCTGGCTCACTCACTTTGGCCAGGAGACCCAGTGTAAAAAGAGAGGTAGGAAGGAGAGAAAGAAAATGAGAGTTATTCACCTTTAGGGGCTTAATGTCTTAATAGGTTGGTCCAGAGGTGGTTTCTAGCCCTATATGAGAGTTGCCCATACCAAGAACTATTAATACCACTTAGCTGGCTTGCTTTGGCTGAGAGACTCAATGGAAATTAAGATGAAAATAATGAAGAGGTTAAGAAACAGAATAGGGGGAGGTATCCAATTTGGGGCTTATTCCTGGTGGCTGTCATACCTAATATGTTGTTTTACTCGCTATGGAAAATTGTTACACTTGACGTATTGTTTAATGACTAAGTTAGTAGTTTGCTGTAAAGAAACTGTTTGATGGTAAGGCTGCTTTCTGAGACCATACTTGACTCCATTTTGTTAGTACATTCAGACAGGCATTACTTATGTTACCAACAATTCAACATTCAGCCGACACCCTAGTGCTTATCGCTAATAGCAGATTAGCCATATGCTGAATGATAACATGAAAGACGTAAACATGGTCTACACTTCACCCTCCCTCATGACTGGCAAAAATATATAGACAAATCCCAATTTGTTTTGACCAAAATCCCATAGACTTACATGTAAAATATTACAAAAATATTTTGATGTTTTGTCAAGTTACCATGAGCCTGTCAAAATCAGACATAAAAAGAAGAGCCTGAGCCCAGCTCATCGGCTCTGTCCTCTGCATGCGCCAGATCCCACCTCACTACATCTGAGACCTAACTTGCTGCAAGAGGCCATGCCGGTTCACACACCAACTCCTCCTCTCCCAGATGGCTCTCCACTCTGCCATCTTTGATGCTCCACTGTGGGCGACCAGTCCTGGTCTCTGTACTCTAAAATCATAGGGTGGACTTTTCCTCTTTGTACGTCCTTAGTCATCTCATGGCAGCCACCACCATTGTTCTCTAAGATCTCCATGGAGCTCCTCTCCGGCTCGCCGGCTGTGCCTCGTAGACGCCTACCATACTCAACACTCAGCCTCCCTCACACACCTGCAGACTACATTCCCTGTCACCACACCAACATAAGACAGCTCTGTGCCACACATCCCATCATGACTTGTAACCCCCCTTTTCCCTGTGTGATTAAAACAACCTAAAAGACAAACCTGAGCCCTGTCCTCCTTCTACAGGCTTGAACACAAATTGACTATAACTACTTGGACAACTAATAAGAGTCGATCAAACCTCTATTTAAGTCGTGATTCCTAAACACATAAACTTTCCCCCTCTCTCTCACTCCCCCTCCAAAACTCCCCCTTGCCACATCACACAACAGTGGCTCACCATAATATATGTTGTGAGATGACTTCTGGCTTTTGGTGCTTCAGACAAAGAATTGAATGGAACACACAAATAGTATAAGGAAAAAGTAGTTTATTAAGTAAAAGTACACTCTTAAGATGTAGGAGTGGGCCTGAGAAGACAGAGGAAAAAATGGCTCAAAAGGCTTCAGCCTCTTTTTTATTTAAACTGTTACTTAGTCTTCACCTCATAATCATAAACTTAACTTTGCAATTAAGCTAGATTTGGAGGGGAATAAGGAAAATATAGAACCCAAAGAAGATTACAGGACATAGCGAGCAGATGGGGTAGAAGGGTGCTCTCCTAAGCCACAGAAGGAACAGTCTGGTGGTTAAGAGAAAACACAAGTCAAATTCATTAGAGTTGTCCATAATAAGCAATGGTGATCTTCTTGATGGTCTTGCCATTCTTGGACCTAAAGTGCTCCATGGCTTCCATGATATTCATGCCCTCTTTCACTTTGCCAAAGACCACATCTAACCACTCAGTCTTGGCAGTGTAGATGAAAAACTGAGAACTATTTGTGTTGGATCCAGCATTTGCAATGGACAAGATGCCAGGACCTATATGTTTTAGGATGAAGTACTCATCATCGAATTTGTCACCATAGACTAACTTGCTGCTGGTACCATTATGGCATGTGAAGTCACCACCCGGGCACATAAACCCTGGAATAATTCTTTTTATTTATTTATTTATTTTGGAGAGTTTTTTTTTTTTTTTCCAAAGGGTGCATGTGCTCACCAGAAAGACAGAGAGAGACAGAAAGCGAGAAATCACTCCCGGGGGGGTTGGGGGGGATTGCCATGTCGCAATCCCTTCTCCTCCATTCTCCTCTCAGGATCTTGGGCACGCATAAACACATGCCCAGCGTGAGTTTAAGCTACTGGATCAGGGACTCGAACAACAGTCGTCTATGTGGAAGTCCAGCAACATATCCATTATGCTAACTGCTGGTCCCAACCCTGGAATAATTCTGTGAAAGCAGGAACCTTTATAACCAAATCCTTTATTTCCAGTGCTCAAAGCATGAAAGTTTTCTGCTGTCTTTGGAACTTTGTCTGCAAACAGCTCAAAGGAGACAGAGTCCAAGGGCTCGCCGTCAACAGCAATGTCAAACACAATGGGGTTGGCCACAGTTGAAGGCATGAGACTCAGGCAGTGGCATCTGCAAAGCACCCCCCTTTCTCTCTTTCTCTGTTTCTGTGTGTCTCTATCTGATTAGTACAGGTGCCTTATAGCAAATTTTAAAATATAATAATAAATAAAATTAAATAATTATTTCCAAAAAATTAATCCATAGGGTCAAACAGTGGTAAAACATGATCTGTGAGGTTGACCCACATGTGATGGTTCCCAGTTCAAACATGGAGACCTCCCTGAGTATGCAAGGCAAGTATACACCCATAATCTAGCTGAAGCTGAAGGTAGATCACAGCATCAAGATTCTGCTGGGGATGCTCTATCTCTCACTCTTCCACACTTCCTCTGTCTCTCTCACTATGGAAGAAATAAATGAACTTAAAACATAATATTAATCCAGCCTGTTCTTTCTCTCTTTTGCCACTGTCATGACCTAGTCAGGGTCCACAACAATATTTCTGAATTATTGTCACTATGTTTAGTAAAGTCCTCTCTAATTGACAAATCTATCATACTATTTCCAGGGAAATCTTGCCAAAACTTACATCTGACTTGTTACTTCCCTGTTTAAAATCTTTTATTGCTCCAGCAATGCCTCTACCAGGAAATTCTAATTTATTATCTAGTTACCACTAATGTTCCTTAGATATTAATAAATACTGCACAGAAAAAAAGATTCTGAGATAAAATAAAGTGTGGGAGATGCTAGATTAAACAAAGTTAGACAGATGTATTTATTAAAGTATTTTCAGAATCTTTAATGCACTAATGTCCATAGTGACTTTCAAAAGGGAAGTTTTAGAGTTTCCCAAACTTATCTGACAATGGAACCCTTCTTTTAAATGACACCTATTAACATCTTATGGAACATGTAGAGCTATTCTAAATACAATCTTGGAGATGATGACCTACAGGATAAAATTTAAACTCCTAAGCATGGCGGAAAAATTTCTAGTGATATAGGGAAGGTGGCTGACTTAGTTTGGGTTCCTATCAGAGTGGGAAAAGAAAAGCCTTTGTAAGAGAAGTTGGATTTATAAGGAAGAAATTTTTTTCTTATTCTTTCTTTCTTTCTTTCTTTCTTTCTTTCTTTCTTTCTTTCTTTCTTTCTTTCTTTCTTTCGTTTTTACATTTAATCACTAAACATCTTTATAGTGTACAGCTTTGTTTTCCCAGCACAAATACAGTGCATATTAGTCGAGACAAAGACATTACCATATACATTATCATCAGCAGATAACTTTTAATTTTTGGGTCAATTAAACAAATTGGTTTTTACCCCTGTTTCCCTCCCTCCCTCACCCTATTATCCACCCCATCTTACCCCTATTCTTACTATCTCTAGTATCTACAGTTGCCCTCCCTGATACTATACCTTCCAATCATTCTTTTTCTGCTAGTGAGCACAGATATTTGGTATCATAAGGTAGACTGAAACCTCAGAGGGCATGAATAAAACGTAGTTGAATAAAAGGCGAATTGGATTTATATTGTTCTTACCTGTCTGGATTGTTTCTTCAACCAAAGGGGAAGAGGAAGGAGGAAGGAGAAATGAGAGCAGAGTTTTCCAGAACAGTCTCAAGAGCACCTATGGGAACAAGGCTGTGTTTCATGGTCATGGCTCCCTGGAAGAGTAAAAGAACAGGGGTATTGCTGCAGAAAAACAGATGCTGAGGAGCAGAAAGGGCACTTAGGAGAGAAAGGAGAACTCTTTATTACATCAGTGGGAACTCAATGGGAACAGAGAAGTTAACAGTCTGAATCTCCAGCCTGACTACAGGTTGGACATGGTCTTGTATAGGAGAACAGGGGAGGGGAGGTCTGGAGATGTTAGGAATGGGGAAAGGGCTCAGAACCTGCCCTAAAATGGAAGTAGTAGAGAAGCAGGAAGTTAACCTATTGAAGGTTTCAGGTTACCCTGTAGTTCCAGGGAGAGGCAGTAAATTTGCCAGAGGGCAGAAACCTCAGGCAGCAATTAGCCCTGAATTATTCATGAATTTAGGGTCTCATTATATCACTATGGCAATGTAAGCTATTGCTTTCTTTTTAGCATCAGCCAGTTGCTCCTCCTCAAAAATTCACTCCTCCTCCATTATTCTCCTCACTCTTACCTTCTCCCCGACAGTAAGATTTTTCCTGTTCCCTCTCCATCCTCCTCATATCTCTGATATGTCTGAGATATCCTAATAGTCTAAGCATTTGCTCCATATTGGAGATATCATGGTAAGTTTATATGTGGTGATCATTAAGGGAACTAATGAGTAGGACTTCATCTCAGAAATGTCCAGAGGTCTGTCTGAGGTAACTGTAAACAATAAGCGAGCACAGTACTTGAGTGAGGTCCAGAATGCTGCCCCACAGAGGGGAGAGCTATACTTAGTCATGGGTTTTTAGACTTGGGTTGTCAATTAGTCAATCAGGAAGTTCAACACCTCACTATATACATAGTATTAATGGATCCATTATGAAAGCCAACAAAAGCACCTCACACTCTCGCCCATATTAATCTTTTTAACCTTATCTCTAATCATTCCTTATTGTGACCTAAAGTAGTACTGTGTACAAATATCATGTTTTCTGAACATTTTCACATCTCATTGCCTTTGCTCATGTTTTCCTTATGCAGTAAAGCCTATTTGTTTTTTTTAAGCCCACATCAAATACCACTTTCTCAGTGAAGCAAGTTGTCACCAGGCAGAATTAATTACGCCTTCCTTCATTTTTCTATAACCTTCTGTTGGCTCTACTAGAGTGCTTAACATATTATGCTACAGCATAATTATTTGCTTCTGGGGCAGTCTTTCCTATTAGTTTGAGAATCTGAGAACAGAAACTATGTCTTATTTGTTGCATGACTCACAATGTCTGCAACAATGCCTGGTAATATGATAACCACTAAAAATATATATTTCCAGGAAAGAAAGAAGGGTTTCACAGGAAGTTTCATGGAATAAAAGCATTAATGAGAGAGATAAAATCAGGGCATTTGGGTCAAAAGTAGGCTATTCAATGAAAGTCTAATAAACAGTATAAAATAGCATAAAACTATATGAAAGAAAAACTGGTAGAAGTTTGAGGAAAAGTTTAAATTTGGATTAGAACTTTAGAATTTACAGAGTAATGAAGATTTTCTGCTGAGACTTCACCCACCATCACCATTCATGAGTGGAAAGGCAGACTCTGCCACTGGAGTTGGAACTAGTGCTTTTAGGGACTAAAATAATGAAGATTTTCTGCTGAGACTTCACTCTCCAACCCCATTAACAAGTGGTAGGGCCACCCCTGTATGATTGTCTCTTTCACTCCCTGTCTTTTCTTTTTTAAAACTTTTTGAAGGTAAAGTATTTTCTGAGCTCTCAGATTCTCCTTTCTCTTACTAATTCTCACCTTTCCCCCCTTCCATTTAGGAGAAGCAAAGACTCCACCACTGGAGCTGGAACTAGTGCTTTTGTGTGGTATGTGAGGGTGTTCTTTTTTTATTTTTTAATAAATAAATAAATTTTTGTTAGTTTTTTTTTTTTTCTTTGTTTTCTTTCTCTTTTTCTTTTACCTTCACCACTTTGCTGCTCATTCTCCACACTCTGAATGCCTAGACAGGTGTAAGTGAACCCAAGCCAAACATCTGAATACTATTAGGGTCTGAATATTCCCCAATTCCCACTGAATCTGCCACACAAAGGAAGGAAAACAGAACAGCAGTGAGTTTGCAGATCACCTCCTCCTGCACGCCTCTGAATGCTCAGATTGAACGTCAAGATATTAGGAAGAGGGACCAGCATTTAGTGTAATGGCTATGTTGCTGGACTCCTACGTAGTCGACCGCAGTTTGCGTCCCAGACCCAGTGGCTTAAAACTCACACCAGGCGCGTGTGCGTGTGTGCTCAAGATCCCGAGAGGAGAACAGAGGTAAAGGGATTGCGGCATGGCCATCCCTCCTGGGGGGTGATTTCTCACTTTCTATCTCTCTGTCTCTCTCTGTCTGGCTAGCGAGCACACGTGCCCTATAGCAAAAAATTTCTTAAAAAAAAAGAAAAAAAGATATTAGGAAGAAATGTATAACCCATCAGATGACCAGAAATCACTGCAGGGGCACAAGAAATATGAGAAACCAAGAAAATACTTCTCCCCCAAAGGAAAATAATAACTCCTCTTCATACACAGATGGTACAATGGAACTCACAGAAATGTCTGATAAAGAATTTAGAATATTCGCAGTGACAAAGCTAATAGAGATGCAAGAGAAGAGAGACAATGAACTCCAGAAGATGCAGGAGAAAAGAGCCAATGAGTTCCAGGAAGTGAGGAAGTTCTTGCATGATCTGAAAGAGGAAATACCATAAAAAAAGAATAAAATAAAACTATTAGAGATATAGGCTATAATACAGGAAATCAATCCCTCCCTTGAAAGTATTAAAAGCAAGCTAGATCATACAGAAGACTGAATCTCAGATGTAGAAGACAGAATCACCAGACTAGAAAAATCCACCATGAAGACTGAGAAAATAGCCCCCCAAATGAGAATAATATACGAGAAATACTAGATACCATTAAATGTCCAAACATCCGGATCATCGGTATCCCAGATGGCGAAGAAATCAATAAGGCCATTGATAATCTATTCCATGAAATCCTGGAAGAAAACTTTCCAATGCTAGAGAGGCATTCAAAGATCCAGATCCAAGAAATAGAAAGGATATCAAATAGAATCAACCCAAGAAAATCTTCTCCAAGACACATTAGAGCCATATTGAACAAAACCACAGACAAAGACAAGATACTAAGATTGGCAAGAGAGAAATGTCAAGTTACCTACAAAGGATATTCCATCAGACTAACAGTGGACCTCTCATAGGAAACAATGCAAGCAAGAAAAAAATGGGAAACTATATTCAAAGTGTTGAATGAAAAACAATTTCAACCAAGGATACTGTACCAGCAAGATTATCCTTCGTGTGGGAAGACAAGAACATTCTCAGATAAACAAAACCTGAAAGAATTTACCTACA